TCAGCTGACTCCTCTCGATGTGGAGGAGCAGCAATATTACTCTGAGCTCCTCACCCTATCTCTAAGGGTGCGCCCAGCCGCCCTGTGGAGAAAGCTCATTTCGGCCGCCTGTATCCCGGATCTTGCCCTTTCGGTCATGACCCAAAGTTCATGACCATAGGTGAGAGTCAGAACGTAGATTGACCAGTAAATCGAGAGCTTCGCCTTACAGCTCAGCTCCTTCTTCACCACGACGGACCGGTACATGACCGCATTACTGCAGAAGCTGCACCGATCCGCCTGTCAATCTCCCGTTCCATCCTATCCTCACTCATGAACAAGACCCCAAGACACTTGAAATCCTCCACTTGAGGCAGGAACTCTCCACCAACCTGAAGGGGACAAGCCACCCTTTTCCGACTGAGAACCATGGCCTCGGATTTGGAGGTGCTGATTCTCATCCCAGCCGCTTCACACTTGGCTGCAAACTGCCCCAGTGCATGCTGGAGGTCCTGGTTTGATGGAGCCAACAGGACAACGTCATCTGCAAAAGGTGCCTTGCCACCGAGAAGCTTCTTAACTACCTCGATGACTTCAACTTGGGTGATGGACGAGTCCACCTCTGGGCCCCCGGCCTCTGCTTCATCATCGGAAGACATGGCGCCAGGGTTAAGGAGATCCTCGAAGTATTCTTTCCACCGTCCGACAATGTCCCCGACATTGGATATTATTGGATATTAATATTTAATATTCAATACCTGGTTAGATTAGGGAACCAGATAGTTTGAGTGCTATCCCCTGCCAAGCAGGTTCAGCAAGGTGGTCCAGATGTCCCATTCCCCAGCAACGTGTTCCATCTCCCCCATTAGATCTCCAGGCATTCTCAGGCCAGATGAGATATACAGTCTCTCCAGCATGTTCTGCGTCTGTAGGAGCACAGTGTACAAAGGTTGAAGCCCAGTCTACAAGTGACAGAATGAGAGATTTATCTTTTAAGCACGTTTTATGAATTAGTATCTCTTATGCCAATTTATGTGGTTCAGAAAAGAAGGTTAACTTTGACAATAAAAGGCATAAGCAAGCATCTGTTAAGCACATAATCATAAAATGAAAAACAAAAGCACTTATATTTTCTACTAGTGTTTGGAGCAATATCATTAGTTAGAGTTTTGAAGTTAACTTGAAAGTAATTTATTGTGATGGTTGGGTTTCAGACATCTTATCATATAAACAAGTTCAGGAATGATTTATCAGTTCAACTAAACATTTCTAATTTCATTAAGCCCAGTTTATGTCTGCTTTGCACTTGTGGACACTACATATTAATAGTTATGTAAGGCTTCCTTGTTCCTTCTTTATATCAAAGCCGTTTGTGCTTGTTATTGTGTTCAGGCGGTGCAGTGGGGATTCCTTCGTGGGGAAAGTTCTGGTTGGCCATTTTAAATGTCTACAGCTGGGAGGGAATGAACACACTCCTCCCAGAGATGTGGTAAGTTGGATGTTCCAGCATCCCATTATATTATTTCCTACCCATCAGCCATGCTGGAAAGTGAGGTTAGAGAACACACGTTTGTGTTGTACCACAGCAAACGTTATATGATTGTGACATTATAGAAAGATTGTGGTATCTTGTCTTTCTCCCATGCAAACTGCTGTTGCTGCAGCTGCAATTGTAAATGGTATCACTGCCTTGTGAACAAGGGGATTTGTCATGGTAAAGACCAGACATCAGGTTATTAGCAATACATTTAGAAGCTTTCATGAACTAAGGCCAGGCTGATTCACTGCTGTTTATGTTATGTCAGCTGGTGACAACCAGCAGCTGATCAGGATGTTACAGGTCGTCTCAGGAAGCTGGTTTTGCCACCACATGTTTTTGTCTATGATTTCAATGGTAATATTTGTTCTGCTCCAGCCTACTCCCAACTTGGATGCCAGCCCACCTCTATGCCCTGTGGTGTCACTGTCGCCAGGTCTACCTTCCCATGAGCTACTGCTATGCTGTGAGATTGGCAGCGGAGGAAGACTCCCTGATCCTCAGCCTCAGACAGGTGCTAAAGCTACACCGCCACACAAGGGGGTGCTATGCCCTGTTTATTACAGCCAGAATTTAATGTTGAACACAGAATTTTGACAAATAAATGGATATTAAGCAAAGCGCAGCTTCCTGTGTTGGCCCAGATGCCATACATATAGCTTGCAATGCCGTTCACCTCTGTGGAAAGTGAAAGGCTGTTTAGGTCAGTGTCACAAACTGTTGATAGAAACAGAAACAGGCTCAGAGCTGATTTTCTCACTTTTCCAAAGAATAGTTAGTTTTTTTCAGACAGTAGCAGAGTTTGATGTGTTCTCTTACAGTATGTTGTGTATTAAAATGTAGTGAGCTACTGTTCAGCGACAAGCTAAAGCTGCTAGCATGAGCCTTGAAAGCAAGCTGCTCCGCTCCTCTCACTCCCGCCTCTCCCTGCTTTGTTACACTTCAAGAATTATGCATATTTCAACTAAAAGTATTTGAAAAAAGTTAAATACTGTAAGTGTAAGTAAAATGTGGTGGTAATGCCATGTTTGGAAGACAGCAAGTTTAGTTAACCCTTAATGAAGTGTTAGTTTGGGATTTCAGCAGCAGACTCATGTTGTACATTTCTGGTTGTCACAGTCGGAAACTGCATTAAAACCATTATGGTAACTGTAATTGTATGGTAAAAACAACTGCAGTATTATTTTGGACTCATATTGGAGCTCAGTTTCTGTGTAAGTACTTGTACTAAAAACAGTGGTATTTGTATAGCCCTAGGAAAAACCGACAAGGTGTCACGTAAGGTGTTCCACCACAAGCCTCAATACATCCATGCAGCTTATCATAGATTTTCAAGTATCTGACCTCCAGTTGACATAAAGCTGTGGTTGCTCCAAAATGTCCAGCAGGTGTTCAGATAGGATACGATCTGGTGATGTGAAGACATTAGCATGTGGGGTCACATCATCTTCATATCAAATCAGTTAGTGAGCCTTTTTTTCCTCTACTCATTTATTTGTGTTTTTTCATTGACTCCTCTCTCGTCTGTTTAGCAGTGTAGGAGTGCCTGCGGCTGGAATTTCACTTTTCACTGATCCACCATTAAAGTATGCAGAGGGAGCAGCCCAGTGCTGTTGTTTTTGTTTTGGAATGTCTCTGAATGAAATGAGATGTGGGTCACTTCAGGACTAATGAAAATGCTACAGATATGTACATCTTAATGTGCATGTTTAAATCAAAATCTGTCTGTGTTTTCTAGGAGCTTTATGTCCATGACTATGCCACCATTAACTGGCCTGCTCAGAGGAACAGCGTGGCAGCATGTGACATGTACACACCACACAGCACACTGCTCACTGTCACCTACAGTAAGCAAACAACACTGTGGGCACCATGGTGATAAACTGCCACCTACAGAAACATGTTGCTGTAAATAAAATAGTGTGAAGTGGCAATTTACTGGAAATGTTAATAAATCAGGAATTACCCACAATGTACAGTTTATCTACAGTTTTGTAAGTAACAGTTTGTAACTATGACAGTGACACACAAATGTTTTGCATGTTTTGAGCTAGCAATGCAGCTAACACCATGCTCTCCAGTTATAGTTGTTTTAAAATGTAACTGTGGAGTAACTCTGCATAAAAAGATGTGGGAGTTAAGTGACAAAAAGAATTAAAGAGTTTCTCACTGGAATTTCCCCAAAAGCTGCCATGTGATTTTCTCCTCTAACCTTGTGCTCATGTTGCCCTGCAGTGATATTAAATGTGTATGAAGCCCACCACAGCACCACACTGAGAGGAAGGGCTGTCAAAGAGCTGTATGAGCACATCCAGGCTGACGACCGCTTCAGTAAATGTATCAGCATTGGACCGGTAATGACAGCATAGACATTCTAAAAAAAGAACTCAGACTGAATAGGGTATTGGCTACGTATATAAAAAAACATAAAATACAGCAAAATTAAACAAGATCCATCCATCATCTATACTGTAATGGCTATGTAATGGTTCCAATGTCTAGCATCCTGTTATATGGTTCTAATGTTTAGCATCTCGTTATATGGTTCTACATGTTATTGCCTGAAAGAATGTGAGAGGGGGGCGCTGTGAGGGGTGTGGGAGGAGAGAGCGAGGAAGAGCAGGTTGTTGTTGTTGAGTGTTGAATGGGGGGAGTTAAAAAGAGCTCGTTAGCGTGTGCTGTGGCTGAAACAACAGCGTGGAAGCCTGTTAAGCTATTACAAATAAAGGACATTGATACCACAAGAACGTCTGGCTGCATGTGTAGGAACAGAGAGTATTACATTGGTGTCAGAAGCTCGAGTTTCGGTCCCACTGCCTGTGCCTCAGGTCGTCGTAACGACAATGCTTTCCTATTCAAGCGGCCGACGGCGGGTGAAGACTGAAGCTGTTGACTGTGCAGTAGCCATGCCAGAGAACGCAGAAATGCACACGAGCAATGTTTCACCTCAGTGCTCGGCGTTGCACCACGACAGCGGCGGGGCCCGGGGTGTTTTCAGCAAAGATGGCGACGCCCTGCGGCTCGCTATGGCCGGCTCCTCGGCGCCAAAGGTTAATGGGAAAGGGAGGTGGGAGGGCTACCCAGCTCAC